GAGGGCCAGCAGGGTTGGAGCTCACCTGGCATGTGGTGACACTAGGAAGGAGATGGCCCCCAAGCAAGGCACAACTCGTGGCCTGGAGGGTGGCAAGATGCTGAGCTCTGTTTCTGGCTTCCCTTTGGGTGGATTTATTTTTGGTGTGGGGCAGTGCTTGGTGACAGTGTGGCGCGGGGCCATCCCATACCTGTTTGATCTCCTGGCGCAAAGACGCGTGTGCTGTGAGCGTGCGATCAAGTTGCTGTGATAACATGGTGACAATACAACAGCTCCCAGCCCTGCTCTGGGATGCAGATGTTGGCTGTGCAAGGGATGCTCCCGGCAGTGCCTGTGGGAATACTGGGGGAGTTGGTTCCTTTCCAATGGGAAATGGCATTGGCGATACTCTCTCTGAAGGGAATTGGAGCATGGGAGCTGGGTTGTTGCAGCACAGCATCCGTGATCCTGCACAGCATCCCATCCATAGGAGCTGAGATGACAACGGGCAGGTTCCCGCTGCTGGAGGAGCAGAACCTTTGCGGGCTGAGGGCTTTCCTTCGAGCATTGTCTCCGTTACACTGCAGTGGATGGGGGCACCACTGCACTGGGCAGAGCTACCAGGCAGCCAGAGCTGTCCCCGCTCATCACCAGCCTGATGGCATTTCCACTCCTAATAAGTTAATCTGATGGGCTTTGTCATGAGCGAAACAAGAAATCACATTTTTAATAATAATAATAAAAAGGGTCCTGCATCTTGTTAACATCTGGAGTTCAATCATTTCTGTGCTCAAAACTGTGGAATGCTTCAGCACGACATAAATCTTGCCACTTGCCGTACATGGGCTCCAGATGGGGAGGCAGCAGCCATGCTCGCCTGCAGCCTGCGTGGTGCTGCTGGGCAGGGCAGCTGGCACCCCCAGGGCTGCTGCTTTCACCCAAATTGCGGGGAAGTACCTTAAACCCTGGAGGCGAGCCGGGGGTGCCTGGCTATTGAGTTCCAGTCACTGCTGTTCCTGCCTGTCTTCACATCTGCTGCTCAGTTGCCTTCGTGGTCTTTGGAGCTGGACTTGATGGAAATCTGAGTGTGGTTGTTGTTAGCAAAAGCAAGAGTTGGTTCTCTGAGTTTTCGTTAATCTTTGTCTCAAACCTGAAAATCATTTATTTATTATCATTTATTTAAACCCAAGATTTTGCAGCTGGAGACTGAAATTTGAGCATTTTTTTCATTTTTGACAGTCAGCACAAACCAGGCAGATTTTCATAAATAAGTTTTCTGATTTTATTTTTGTTATTTATTATTGGAAGTTGCTTTGAACTGAGAAATCATTGGGTCTGAACTGCTACTGTGGAGGTTTCAACCTCCTGAAGGCAGGGTGTTGTTTTGAGACACTCCATCGCTGACGTGTGGAGATGGTAGATTTTGACTGAGAGCTGTTTGTTGGCATGATAGGTTTGACTTCTATGGGTTTTAGGCACTTTTGTTTAAATATCTCTGACTGATCCTAGCTGGGAGGCTGGGGGGTGTGCTCAAAGAGCATCTTTCCTATTCAAACTCTTGTGAGCACAAGTATAAGCTCTGGTATCAGCTGGTGGCTAGGGGTTATCTCTAGGCATTCAGATGGCTTTAAACCAAGGAGCAAATATTCTCTTTGCAGTGCATTCAAAGAGAGCTATGGATGGGCCTGTCCACGTTCCTCAATGCTGCAGTGATGCTTTCAGTATGCCTGCGACTGATGAAGGGCTGCCCCAGTGCCCCATCCCCAGCTTCGAGAGCTGCTGTGTTTATGGGGAAATGTGGGTTTGAGGAATAAGAAAATCACTTTTCACCACTATGGATTTGGTTGGAGAAGTGAGCCTGCTGCTACGGGAGCTCAGTCCTGCTCACGGCAGTGCATGGGCAGCAGCAGCGGCACCAAGCAAGAACTTGCAAATTCCCTTTTCCTCTCCAGAATGCTTGGCTTGTGCTGAATAAATTTCCATACAGAGCATCTCTCGTCTTCTTGGAGAACTGTTTTTAACTGGAAAGCAAAAAGGAGTCATACTGGAAGTTAAAAGATTTGGGCTGCAAAGTGTTAGATTGCCAAAAATTAAACAAAATCAAGAAAAACAGTTTTGTTTTCTGTTCCCATCTTTTTTTTCCTCTGGACTCCCATCTATCTGTTGTTCCTACAGAGGAAGGGAGAGACAGACAAAATAAACACAATGTAAACTGATCTGGGGAGAGTATTCCTTCCTGGCCCTAAAACCTGATGTGTGCCCAACCTCAAATATCAGTGAGTGTTGGAGCCCTCCTAGGATGGAGCAGGGAGAGGATGGCTGGAAGTCTTCCTGTGTTTCAGTACCCACTGGGGCTAAGCAGGCACTAGGGTTTGCCCTTGGCTCTCCCAGTGTGGGTTTGCTGTCACTGACCAACGATGGGGAGGAGAGTTCATGTCGTCTTCCTTGCGTCTTGCAGATGAAGTGCTGCATGCTCAGTGCACTCCCCTTGCCTATGGCTGAATGTCGGCCGATGCTGTTTGCTAAACAAGAGTGCCGGTGGCAGAGGAATTAGAAGAAATCCCTTCTTAATTGGAAACAGTGAGTTTGTGTATTTTTTCAGTTGTCTATTTTGGGCCTTGTAAAATTAAAGTTATTAACTGTAATGCAGCGGTTTCCAGATTCCCACAGCCCTTTACAATAGCGGGGAAATTCATCCCAGGTCACTGGGAGCCTTTAATGAATACATTAAGACTTATTATTAAAATAAAGTACTTGCAGCTTTATGAGAGACATCTGGCGAGGATGCGCGTCTCCTGCAGGCAGTGCAGCTCTGGGTGTCTCCTCCCGGCGTGCCCTGCGGTGCCATGGGCTCACTGCCACCCTGCACATGTGGGCTGGGGACAATGAGGGGATGTCAGGAGGTGATGGAAAGCACCAGGGCTGGGTCATGGAATCGTTAAGGTTGGAAAAAGGCTGCTGAGATCATCTAGTCCAGCTATCAACCCATCCCCATCATGTCCTCTAGCTGTGTCCCTTAAGTCCTGTGCCTGTAGGATGCTTGGTGCAGAGGATGCTGTTGACCAACATATTCGTGGGGTAGGCTTGGGCTGAGTGCAGGAGCTGCCCTGGCTGCAGGCAGGTGGGTGTTCAGCCAGATGTTGGCCCAGTGGTGCTGAGGTTTTGTGGAGCTTGGGGCAGCAGGGACCCTGCAGTCCCAGCATGCCCACAGGACAGGCTCAGCTTGTGTCTCCACAGGCAGCGTGGTCAGCAGCAGCAGGCAGTCTTATCACTGCTTTATCTCTATCCAGGCTTGATCTGTGCAGAAAGCAGAGCCACGTGGCGGTAATTGCATTAGGAAAACAAACTAATCTCTGAAGGGACAGAGAACAGCTGTTGGGCTATCGGGAGACATGGAAGTGGCCTGCCAGCCTGCAGAGCTGGGGGGATAAAGTGGATTTTGGGCACAGGGTTGCTAGAATGGGGGAGAGCCAGGCTTGATGCACTTGTCTGAGTTTCTTTGGTTGCATTGATTTGGGGAACAAAGCACCAGGAGGTGGACACCCTGAAATGGGGACAACTAAGTCCTGGCTGTGAGCACCTTTGGCCAATGGAAATGAGAAGGTCAGGATTGCACCAGCCAGGAAGGCTGAATCCAGAGCTGAGTGCCTGGCCAGATCCCAAAGCAAACGTTGCTGTTGTTTCTGGATTATGTAGTTTAACAAAAAAGAAAATCCTATCGCTAATACCACGAGATACACACTTGTGTCTTGTATTCACTCTGTCCTATGAACTTTATTAAGGCTCATGTAGAGAGGGATTATAAAAAAGAAATAAGGCCAGAATTATGCAGCTCCCAAAAGTTTTCCTAAAAATAAATTTTTGCCATGTTCTTCCACAGCAGTTAATTATGGCTTCTATTAAATGCTGACAGGCACTTGATAATGTTATATATTGCAGCAGGCTCTGTTTGGAGTGTTAAAATGATGGCAGTAAAACAGTTTCCATTAGAGCTGTTTTCATAAGCTAATAACTTTTGCAAACATTCATGTCTCAGGTTGAAAGTTTTGCATGCCTGGTCCTTGCCTGGTGGCAAACTTCTTGGAAGCATTCAGAAAAATCCATCTCATCCTTTGAGTTATGGAAGTGATGGGGAGAAAGAAATGAACAGTTTATTTTCAATGGTAGATGGATGACAGAGGCATGCGATGCCAGAAACTGGCTTCAGAAACTGGTGAGGCAGTTGTAGAATCATAGCATCATCAAGGCTGGAAAAGCTCTCCAAGATCATCCCATCCAACCATCCACCTATCACCAATATTCCCCACTAAACCTTGTCCATCAGCACAACATCTAAATGTTTCCTGAACACAAACTCTTCAGAGATGCTCTCAGCTCTTACCTATCTGTAACAACTGCTGATCTGACTCTGTTAGCATAGAGCTGGGGAATGTCCCACCCACTAAAATCCTCTCTGGCTTCAAAGCGTTGATAAAGTCAATGGCAGAGCCTCAAGGGAGTCCAGCTACCATCTAAGAGATGTGACTGGTGAGCTCAGGTTAAAAATAGATGTTGGTAGTTAATAACTTTTTCCTTCTGTTGGCATGTTTGAGAAACTGACAGTATTTCTCTCATGGAGATGAAGAGTCCTGAAAAATGTACAAACAAAAAAAAGAAGGGTAAGAAATTTCTAGGTCAATAAAAATATTTTTCTTTGATAATTTCAAGCTTCCTGTTTTGATTTTTTTTTTTTTTTTTCTTCTGTTAGCAGCCTAACCATGCAGAGAAAAGATCTTTTCAATTAGGAACTTTGAGATGTGTCAGTGATGGAAATACAGAAGCCAAAAGTTTGGACGATTTGGATATGCGTGCCAACCTTTTCCAAGATGAAACAAGTGTTTGAGCTCCCCTTGCCTGCAAGAAGCATTTTCCCACCAGCCCACTGCATTGGCAGCTATTCAGCTGGATCCCATTGGCAACCTGTGGCCAAGAGGCAAATGAACCATGCTGATCTCTCACTGTGCTCTTCTATGTTGTTCCAGGGACAAATCCAGTCAAGCAGGTGCTGAGCCAGTAACAGCATGGGAAAAGCTCCCCTTCCTTGGGTACTGTCAAAATTCAGCATCCTTCACAGCCTCCAACATCGAGGTCCTACAGGTATGACTTTGCTTTGTGTGGGTCTCTGAAGTTAAAGATGCCAATGAACCTCTGCTGCAAGGTCCAAAATCATCCAGAATGACAGCAGATCTTTCCCAAAGGCTTCCCAGGCCAGGAAGAGTGGAACTGCAGAGGCACAGCAGGAGAAAGCAAGAAGGATGCTTGTCCTATGCCCTACCCAACTACCTTCTCTGGAGTGGCTTTGAGGAGCCCCAGAGGTGGAAGGGCTGGAAATCTAGCTCCAGGTGGCAGTCCTGATGTGCATGTCCACTCTTTAGAGCTCCCAGGTATTTCCTTAGGCAGTTGACTTGATCACAGGTAGTGGGGTACTGAGCCACGTTAGAGCCTTGCATGCTATTGTAGCTGCAGCATGCTCTGGGGAGAAAAAGAAGGAAGGGGAGGCTCGTGTCCCCTTGGAAAAAAACTGGGGTGTACATTTGGCTTTCTCCTCTGCGTATTCTTGTTTTGTCTCCGAACCACCTCCTCCTCAACCATTCCTGCACAAACCCCCTTTGTTTGCTGCCCTCAGCCAGCATCCAGGCAGTAACAGCAGCCCAGATGTTCCCTATCAAACTCAGAGCCATGCCAACAAACTTTGGCACACATGAAAGTGTGCTGAGGAATGGGCCTCTGCAAATACCATTTTTTTTTTTTCCCGTTCCCATTCCTGCAAGTATTTTTAAATGTTAATGGCTTTCATGCTGCAACAGCCCATGGGGGAGGCTGCGAATTAGTGGTGAGGGGCAAATCTGTCCTGACTTTGAAACCCTGCCCCTCGTTCCTGTGGTGTGGTTTTCCCATGGGTGATGGTGCTTGGAGGGAGCAGACAGCTCAGCCTGCAGAGGGGAAATCTCAGTAAAACTGGATGATTGCACAAGTCCAATGGATAGTCTCTGCCCTTCTGTGCTGATGTTCTTTTCCCACCTCCCCAAAGAGACAGGCTAAGGAGGTGATGGATGACTGTGATGAACCCCTCTCCCTTGATCAGAGATGATCTCCTTGAGGATGCATCCAGGTTTCCATCCTGGAACAGGACCCATCTCTTTTTGCATATGAAGGGATGGTGCAAGCCATAGGCCCATGTCTCAGACATGGGCTTGGAGATAAATGGAACCTTGGAGAAAACGTGAGGGTAAAGAGGTGAGAAAAGAAAAAATGGCTTGAGCTGATGAAAACTGCTTTCTTGCTCTGGGGAGGTGAGATTATGGTTATTCACAATAGGTTTGCAGGGACTGCTTCTAGAAAGCAGAAGCTGAGCACCAGCCCTTGGTTCCCTTCATTAAGCAGGGAAGGCAGCACACTAAATTTGCCAGTAAAATCGTAATAATAATAATAAAAACATAGTCCTTAAACTATCCTGTTTAAAAATAATAAAAATTAAGAGGTACTTGCCATTTCACATGTCGTCTGGTTTAGCTGCAGGGAGCAACGTGGCCCCTGAGAGCTAACCTGCTGGAGCAGATCCCCACTGTGTTCAAAGGCAGTGGGGAGACCTGAGTTTGCTTTCAGGTTGGGGCTGCTGAGGGTTTTGAAGCCTTGAGCAAGTTTTCAGATCTTTTTTTTTTTTTTCATGGCCGAGCAGTCTGGGGGAAAATATATTGCTGAATTGGCATGAAGGGGGGGATCCAGATGCTCCCTGGGTTACACTGCAGCTTCTGCAGAAATGCTGCAATCTTGGGGGCTTTCTATAAAACCTGGAGGACAAAGGTCCTGTCTGTGAGCACAGACAGTCTACTTCCCTAAACGAGGCTGATTCCAACAGTTGATCTTCATTTAATGCTCCCAAGCCAGATGAAAAAATGCAGACTGAATCTCAACATGTGTATGTAAGGGGGTTTCTAGTTGCTGGTGCACAGGTGTTGCTACAGAGATGATGTGGAAGTACCCTGATGCATGCTGGCTAAATAATCCTGCTTTTCTAAGCTAATCATGTTGGATTAAAAGGTAATGCTGGCTTGATCTCAGCTGCAAAGCTCAGGGTATCAGTTTGTCCTCTTCAACTCATCTTCAGTCTGTTTGGGAGTGCATTGCTACACTGAGCACGCAGACAGGAATTGCGGAGCCTTTCCTCCTGCTAGGAGAGGAATCTGGAAACGATTACAAGCTGCTCATGCTTAATCATTGGGTGAATCTTAAATGCCTGGCTTAATATTTTGCAGGACTGAAGATGGCATCTGAATTTTTGTGGTGTGCAGGTTACATGGCAGAGCATGTGGGCTTGGATGGTTTTGCTGTGTGTGTTTGAGGGGTGGCTGGTCCTGAGGACCCCATGCTTCCTCTGAAGTCCAGGTATCATTTCAAAGGAAATCCAAAATGCAAAAGGGGGGGGGTGGAGAGGAGGGGGAAATGGAACTGTTTTGCCTGATATTTGCGCAAACTGGCAGCTCAACCATGTTCTCATGCCTTACTGAGTCTGGCCATTTGTACTTCAAACTGAATTAGAAGAGAGTGTTACATGAGTTTAAAAAATGAAATCTCCTGGGAAAAGGAAGGCAACTAAAATAACCCCCATCTCTGGACTGGAGTCAGTCAATGAGAAGGAAAGGACGTCTATTGTTTTGCCTTCCTTAAATATCAAAAATGCTTCACATCAGCATTCTCGGGCTGAAGCTGTTTGCTTTACTGAAGGTCGCTGAGTTTAAAGACAGGTTTTCTTCATTTTTCAGACGGGCCTTAATTGAAAAGAAGAAATTGTGGGTTTTAGTTTGACTTTTTAAAAGATTAAATAGTCTCCAAGCAAACCAGAGTATTTTGTTACTGGTCAGGCAGGATGTTTCTCCTTGACCCAAAATGAAATGAGTTCTTCTGATTGTACTAAAAATACTTCGTCTTCACCTTGGCTCCAAAACTAGGATTTTCCACCAGTGCTTTTACTTTGGCGACCAGAAGAAACCCATCATCCTTGTTTTCACCTTACTGCTGCAGTAGTAAAGGGTCTAATTTTGGTTGCCCCTATTTTAATTGGAGCATTCCTTACTGAACTGATAATTTATTGCTAGCTGAGATCTGTGACATCCATGTTCACAGCCAGGGTGTGGTACAGATCTCTCTCCAGAGATCTTGGATTCCTCATCAAAGAGCTGCTAAGCTTCCCTGGCCTTCAGCCTGCTTATTTACAGTCTTTATAGCTCAGGCTCAGAACTTGCAGTTGATGCTAACTAATGAAGATATGGAAATCTTCATTACCATATGTGGCCCTGGTAAGCCTTGGAGGTGTTAGTCAGGCCTGCAGTTGTGCCAGAACATAACTAAGGAAAACACTTCCCTTGGAGAAACTGCTATAAAGCAGCTTCTATCAGAACATTTTGGAAGGCAGCTCCTGCCTTGGAGGGACGACTTTCCAAAGTCATAAAAGGAGGTTACCTGCTAGAGCCTTGGTAAGAACCAAGCTCTCTGCAGTTCTTCAGTCCTTTAAAGACTTTCTCCAAAATCCCATCTCAGTAAATGGCAGTTCCTCACTGAAGATCATGAGCTTTTTTTTTCCTGTTGTTTTTTGGGTTGTTTTTTCTTTTCCTTTGAGCTGGCTATGGAGAAACCATCAAGGCTTGGCATTGGGCATGTAATCTTAGCTGGCATCCTCAATCCTTTTTTGCTAGGGCCTGGGGAAGTACCCAAACCTTGGATGGAGCTGTTTGTTTGAGTGTTCTTTCAGCCCCATAGGCCAAAAATGAGCCAAAGCAGTGCAAGCTGATTAATTGCTACATCTATGTACACCACTATCTTGTGGGGGTACAGCAGGATGGGAGCAGGATCCCACATTGCTCCCTGAGGGCTACCACCACCTTACCTGCAACTGGCAGTTCTGTAACTCCCAAGTTCTTCTCAAATTAGGAGAGGTGAGGAGAGAGCATCTCCAGGTCATGTAACTGGAAGGAGATACCTGAAGTGGCCCGAACTCATTTTGGACTTGTTGGTCATGAGTGGGCATTCTGCAAGTAGTCAGAGGGCACTGAGGAGTATTTGGGGTGGTTTTCACATCATATAAGGGTCTACTGCTGGCTCTGGGTTTGGCAAACATCCATCCTTCTGTCTTCTCACTAGAAGAGGATGATTTCCCATGCTGACAAAGCTGGTTGCCACCAGGGATGGCACAGCCGTGTCCGTGAGTGGAGTGATGAGGTTGTGACAGCTGAAGGAGGAGGTGGGAATGGTGTGGGAAGCATCCTGGTCATGGGAACAAGACAAATTTCCAATGGGCTGGCAACAGTCATTCAGCATAGAGAGGTCAAAATTCTTGTACAGCAGCCTGGATGCCTGGACCCATGGGGCATCTATGGATCTGCATCTCTAGAGCTTGTGTGGGGATCCACACATCTGAAACCACTGAAAACCACATCTTGTTATCCCAGGACTGCACTGACCTCTGCTCTGTCTTGCTCGACAGATGTTTATTCTTAAAAATATCTGGTGGTGGAGACCCTGTGCTCTTCTGAAGCCGATTTTTAACATTTTGCTGCCCTATGTGCTGGGAAGTGCTTCCTCACATCCAGCTTTCTTCTCCACTTATCCACCCCAGACTTCTTTAGAGCTGCATTTTGTATATTTAAAAGCTACTATCATGTCTTCTTCCCTGTAATTGTCTCCCATGGAGACTAAACAACGGCAGTTTGTTCACTTGGGCATGTAACAACAATCAGTCTGTTTGATGGAATTCAATTTTTTTAGTGTAGTGGTTCTAATAACTCATTCTATGCCAAAACTAACAAACATTTCACAATTTTCTCTTCAAATCTCTAATTTTATCAATTGTTTTGACAATTAAGTTTACAATTTTTAACACAAGTAGTTAAAGCAACTGCATTCTAATTTTTCTATACAAGTGTTTGAATTATGACATCCATTGAGCAATACAATTAGGAAAATTAAAGAAACATCATGAAATATTTAACATGGTTTTTAAAAAGTATTCATTTAGAGACATTAAGAGATACTTAGATACTTTTAAAAAGTTATTAGCTGCAAAAATATTTCTTCAGCAGTATGAAAATATATAGCAATAATTGCTATAGTGTTCCACTTCTTTCACTACTCAGCTCTGGCTTTGCAATCCAAAGTGGAACGTTTATAATCTTTGGTAAATTTACATTCAGGATGAATTTTAATTTACCAAGAAGTATATGTAGGAATTTGTAATATTATACATATAAGTAACAATTTAAAAAGCTTATTGCATACTAAGCTTTCTTTCAGTTTGGATTTTATTTTTTGAAAATAGGACTTAAGGAGAAAAAACAAAGGTTAAAAGTAGAATGCACTGGGGACTTCTACATCCCCACGCCATCTTCACGTCCCATGCCCCGGCTGCTCCAGGGCTTTCCTTTGGTCTAGAGCTGCTCTCCTCATAGCCCTGCAGCAAGGAGAGGAGAAACCTGGCAGTACCTGCCCCCTCTTCACTGAGATTTGAGAAGTAAAACTTGGCCCTTGTAAAGTAAAATAGCTGTGGTTTCAAGCAGTAGGGGTCACAGGATTGCCCCTGAGGGCTCTATGAATAGTGGCTCAGAGGAGACGAGGTCATGGCCTTAAACTTCCCATGTAAAAGTGTACCTCTTCACAACAAAATGTATAAAGATCCACAAATCAAATGATGTTGAAAACCACTGGTTTCTATGGTTTAAGAAGCAGTCTTCCAGTGTAGTTTTCTCACCTGTTAGCTCTTTAGATAAGTGGGTTTCTGTTTCCCTCTAAGAAATTCCAAAAAACCAAGACTGCTGTAGTGCCAGAAATGATGGTGCTGATTTGATTCCAGTGTAGGAGAACAGATGCTGGGAAGATGAGGCCAAGGCAGAACAGGGCATGCAGCACCTCTGTTAGCCTATCCCGTAGTTGAGATCCTGTAATACAGTGATTATCCTGCCATGTGCTGAGCTCCAAGTTCCCAATGCAGGATTAGGGGTATGTTGGTGCTGAGCCAGGCATCTTGGCACTGCCCTGGTGAGGCTTGGTTAAAGGCTGTGGCTCAAGCACATGGCTGAGGTTAAGCACAGGCTTGCATGCTGGTTTGGATCAGGGCCTAGGGCTCAGTGAGACTGATTTCCACCTTGGTTTCTGAGTCTGGTGCTCCTTAATGGAGAGTCCTTGGGGGTATTTAGCCAGGAAAAAAAAAAGCTGAACGTGGAGATCAGTGTTGATGCTATACTCTCAGCAATCTAATCCACAGTCTGTTGGACTATGGGAAAATCCTAGCTGCCTTCACCAGGCTGCAGAGGAGGAGGGCCTCAACTGCACTCTTGTTTTCAGTGCCATGCTGAGAAGTTAATTACTTGAATTAATTATTTATCTCAGGTTCAGAACCTTCCTGGATAGTACAGCTGAAATCAGCGGAAGAAACTTCCATAGCATGAATGTGAAAAGCATCCTTTAAAGGAGAAATTAATTCTCAAAAGGCTGGGCTTGCTCCTTGTTCACACATTGGTCTGGTTTGGCTGGACATGGTGATTTGGCTCTGAAAAACAAAACTGCAGTTTGAACTAAACCAGTATCAGTAAGGTCCTGGTACAAATTGTGTCCATCCTGGGTTGAAATGTCAGCTGAGGACTGACCCTGAGGTCTGACCCTGAGGCCTGCCCTACAGAGTCAAAGTTGCTGGTCTGTGATGACATGTCCATCATGATCTGGGAATCTCAGAAGAAAAAAAAATGTGATCTCATGCTACTTGCTGCTTCAGGAGACAGCAGGCTAAAGAGGCAATATAAAACAGACACAGAAGGTACGGACATAACCAGGTCTGCTCATGAGGTAGCAGCTCTTGAATCTCAAAATGATACAGAAGTCTAATCTGGCCCCGGATGTAAAAGGAAGGTTTAGGTTATTTTTTTTTTTTTTTTTCAGTATGGTTTGGGTTGTCCATCATCTCTTTCTCAAAGTGAGAATGGAAAATAAGGTTTCTATTTTCTCTTCATTCAGCCTTATCCAACCTGTGTTTGCTTAGAAAATACTTTTTCATAGGTGTCAAACATTAGTTTCATGTTAAGCTCACAGGCCTTTAACCAGCCAGGGAACATGAACAGCCTCCATTTTCTGAATCTGCTGCTGGTAAATGCCCTGTGAAATGACTTCACTAGGTTATAATTGCTCCTGGAGAAGGCTGGCCCAACTGCTGGTAATTAAACCTTTGGCTGATGGAAACTGTTAAAGCTGATTGCTGCTTTGCCTATAGCATTGTAGTTAACAACTCAAAAGTCTTTATACTTTTTCTATAAAACACATGGGAGTTTTATGCCTGGAATATCTGCTGCAATAAAGAGAATATGGTGCTTCATTTTTGTTTGCAGCACTGAAACTTGGAAGAGAAGAAAGAACTGAGGTTCAGGAATGAGGTCTGGAGTTAGTGCTTCATGAGGCTCGTTCAGTTGGTACCTGTGGTTTCGGCACAGCCCATGGCAGGGATTTAGGTATCAAGACAGATTTAGATTCCTGACTCCAGTACAGGCATCTATGAGGGAATTAAGTGTCCTACGAGGCTGGCCAACACTGATGCATCGTAAAATTCCAGTTGATACCTGGTTCTGCTATCTGGGCTTCCTGGCTTTTGAGAGCATGCGAGTCAAGGCAAGATTACGGTTCTCATTCGATCTCTTCTGTGCTTGGTAAAGTTTCCCAGAGCAAGCTGTAATCCAGCCCGAGGGGCCATCCTGCAGCTTCAAGCCCTGGTTGGTGATGACCATGAACAGACCCCATGATGTCTATGACAGAATGGAGATAAATGTGCTCTGCTTCTTCTCCACTGGATGTCTGCCATGTCTCTGTTTCACCCTGGCCCACAACCAAGCTGCTGGTGAAAAATAGTGATGTGTCTGCTCCCCAAAGGCCAAATCCCAGTAGAAATGTTTGAAACCTGCCTGCAAGTGACAGTCCAGGACTCCATCTCCTCTGAGTAGGGTTGCTATTTATGGCATGTGTTAGTCATGCAGGAGCACTTAGAAGTGCTGCCGCAATAAATTGTGAACTCATGCGTGGCCATCAAATAATGAATTTGTTCTAGGAGACAGCAATTCTTCAGAGCTTGACTAATCCCTCACAGATTGGAAACCACAAGGGATGTTGTTAAGCACTGAAAAACATCCCCCTTTTATTACTGATGATGTATTTAAGTCTCCAGCCCACTGGACTGCTTTAGCTGAACCTGAGGCTTGTGTGTTCTACCTGATGTTCTCCCAAAGGCAGGTAGGTTCATCTGCAAGACCTGTGGTAGGCTTCAAGTAGTGGCTAGAGTTTGGGCTGGCTGGAAAACATGCATGCTGTCATGGCTAGAGAGAGAATGTTGCTACATCAGGAGCCCATCCCTCCCAGAAAGGGATGCGTGACTTTGTTAGCACTGAAATAATCATTTCTCACGTTTAATCTCATATTTCTTTATTAGTTTGTGTAGGTTGGGTCTCGGCAATTATTTGGCGGAGAACACGTGCCCGGGCTCACACCTCCCTTACTGCACAGGGCCCAGGGATGTGTTTTCTGTGCCCCTACAAATACAATTCTGAGATGCTGCAGAGAAAAATACCTCGCTAAGACTGCCTAACTACGATCTATAAATGGCCGGGGCGTCGTGGCGTTGCTGCTTTAACGCTGCTTTATTAAGGAGCCCCGCAGACGGGGCCCCGGCCCTGCCCTCCGCTGCCCTGCCCTCCGCTGCCCGCTTCCCGCTTCCCGCATCCCTTCAGGCCGCCATCTTGTGCCACTGCGTTGCCATGGAAACGCGAAGCCCCCGCCGCGTCGCCATGGAAGCCGCACGCTGCCGGTCGGGCCTGTCCGCAGCGTTCGCCTGCTCAAGCGGTGCGGCGGCGGCGGGGCAGCCTCGGGGCTTGCGTGGCGCGGTGCCCCGTGAGCGGAAGGAGGAAGCGCCATGGCCGGTGCCGAGGGTTGGGCTGGTTTCACGCAGGAGGAGCTGCGGCGCCTGCAGCGAGGTACGGAGTGCGGCCGAGCTCGAGGCCGGGCACCGGGGAGCGGCGGGGCCGGGCGCGGTGCGGTGCGGTGCAGCCAGCAGGCCTCGCGCTCCTAGCCGTGCCCTCAGCCCGATCTCTTGTGCCTACGCCTGCCTGTCCTCCGGCCCGCTCGTGCATCTCTCTGCCTGTCTTCGCCTTGTTCTTCACTATCCCTCGCTTTATAAAGCCCGAGTTGCCCACTGGACCTCCTTTGGCCCTACATCTGGCTCTCCCCTGGACTCGCCTCTGCTCCTCCCCGAAGTTCTTCCTTTAGTCCCCCGCTGCCAATCCCTTTTTCCTCCCTCCTCTCGTTTTCGGATGCTCGCATCCCCTAAAACCGCCGATTCCTAGACCAACAGAGCGTTTCCAGGCTCCTGGATTTTCCTCAGGATGCTTTCCCTTGATACCCAGATGTGTCTTGTCCTTAGGTTGGTTTTGCCCCAGTGTAGCCAGTTTACAGTCCATGTTTGTTTTTAAGGCCTGCTTTTAATTCTCTTTCTCCCCCTCATCCATTGATAGATTTATCTGAACCGCTGGAGCAGCCGCGTCGTCCCCAGCCTGCAAATAAGAATTGGAAGCAACTGCAGCGAGAAAAAGCTCTCCAGCAACAATGCCAGAAGCTGGGACTGCAGGGTGGAGCAGCCTCGGTTCCTCCTGAGCAGTTGCTGTCTGCACCAAAACATAAACCTTGTAATCCTCGGCAGCCCGTGCCAGCATCACATCGTCCTTTAGCAGAGCAAAGGCAACGTGACAGCAAAGATCAGCAAAAGGAGGCGAGGCCAGCAGGTCCTTGTGATGGTAGTGACAGTGCCCGGAACCTCACTCCAAAGACAAGCACTACAGTGGAGAAAAAGAAAGTGGAATTGTTAGTAAGTTGGTAAAATTGGGGGATGGTTTTATTCTGTGTGGATTTATTCTTTTGTTTTACCGTAAAGCGAAATTGAATGTTGAACTTTCCTTTATCTAACAGGGAGGTGTGAGAGAGAATGTTTTCTTCCTCTGCTTTGAGCCTTTGCTTTTCATCTCTAGTCAGTTGGGTTAGACCTGATTCAGTACCAAATTATGTCATTTAATCCATGCAGAAAAGCACCATGACTGCCTGAATAATTTCCTATAGCAGTGGGACTGTGAATCGAGGAGGTGTGCCTCAGTGATTTGTGAAGACCTAATCTCATCTGGATCGTGTTGCATAGACAAGCCAGCATCCAGAACAGAAAGTAGCTGTACCTTTTGAAAGTAGATATATTGTGAATGGGAACACAGAGTTACAGAAATTACAATATTACTGTAGATTTATTAATATCTCCTGTTAAGGAGATAAAAATTTCCATTTTAAAGAATTCTCTCTTTCACAATTCGAGTTCTCACTCTTTATCAGCCCATATTGAGGTGTCTGTCTCTCCCCAAAGCATCAGAATGGTACCTATGAGAGAGAAAGGAAAAAGTACGGAACGCAGCTGGGAGCCTGACTGCATGAGGCAGTTACTTTGTTCATCATCCAGAATACATACAGTAGCCTATAGAAGGAAGCTGTTGTCTAAATATAAGAGAGGGCAGGCATTTTTAATATGAAATGACTGGTTTTACCTCCTTTGTGCTTTTTTTTCCTGCCTGTATCCAAGTGTGAGGTTTTTTTTCCTTGAGTGCGCACAGTTCTGCATATGGTTCTCTTGCCTGGATAAAAGTACCTGTAGGATTTTAGAGGGAGCCAAAGGTGCTTCCCATTGGAGAGGATTCTGTCCAGTTCCAAGAGCAGTGGCAGGATGTCCTGTTTCTCACAGATACATCATGAGGGGCAGCAGCTGCTGGCTGTGCAGTCACCTGGCTGGGATCACCCAGCTGCAGAGAGCAGTCTCTTCATGAGAATAGCTGCACTTGACAGAGCAGTACCCAGTTATTCCTGTGCTCAGTGGGTGTACTGACTGTTCAGCTCCTTCCCGCTGGTGGTGAAAAATACATTTTCTGTGTGTGGAAGGTAGTTGAAGCATAGCAGAGAAGGTGTAGGGAGCAAATAACATCTAGGTGCCACAACCACCCACGAATCTGCTGAAGTTATTCAAGCCTGTGCAGTCCAATTTAAATCTTGTCCAACATTTTTCTCGGTATGTGGTCTTAGGAATAGAATGGTGAGAAGTCTGAAGAGATATTCTTGTGCAGGAATGGTTTTTAAAATAAACATAGCTGAATTACTTTGGCATTGTTAAACTGAGCAAGACCTTGGAACAGAGACTTCTCAGAAGGCGTGAAGGATGGAAAAGCAGGATGGAAAAGCAACAAAGCAGGTTTTGTTTCCCCTTAATCCTACCCAATTGCGTTCACACAGGTTGTCCCCTCTCACCAAGAACCTTGTCTTCCATTCTCTGGGATCAGTTATATCTCTCAGTAGTTGTGGTGGCCTAGGAAATGGAATCAATGTAACTCTTTCCACAGTGATAAAAGGAAAATCCTGTTTTCCTCATTAATCAATTTCATTGTATTTTTTATCAGCTCTTCTTTCCATCCGTTTAATTGTCTGAGTGCTCTGTTATAAGGCAGACAGATTGTCTGTCTGATAAGAAAAAGCACTTTCAAAAAAAGAGGCTGCATTGGCAAACTGAACAGATAACTCATAGCAGCCAGTAAGAAGACTGGAACTGCTTCGACCCAGTGGTAAAGCACAACCTTTATGTGAAAAATCTTATCCAACTCTGAGGAAGTGTTGAACGCTCTTTCTTCCAGCAATCATGGAGCCAGCAGCGTGTTTGCATGTGACGATTTGTGTTCTGATCAGCACATTGCATCTGAAAATGTTTATTGGTCTCAGTGACTTCTTGCAGAAAACTGTTTATTGTTCCTTCAGCCTATTTGGAGTTTGCTCCAGGAAACATGATGTTTATTATCGGTGTTGTGTGGAGGACAGGGAGCGAATTGAACTCGCTATCAATTTTGATCTTCTTGTCAATGAGCAGGCAGGAAAAATCACGGTGGGAGATCCTCCAGCAAGAGCAACGGCTGATAGAAGAGAAGAATAAACGCAAGAAGGCACTTCTGGCCAAAGCTATTGCTGAGAGGTAAGGGCCTGTGCTGCAGTGTGGGCTGAGAAAGAGGTTCCTTTCAATCTGCAACCAATTACATATCTTCTTTTAAAATCTCCTTCTTTCCCCCTCTCTTTGCTCTTCACGTACTGCTCCACAAATTAGCAGCTGTGACAGACAGTTCCCTGTGATTACATGCTTGCCACGAGTGATTAAGCATTTTGAGTTTGACTTACTAATATGTGAAAAGTGTTGAAAGGAAAAAACTATCAAGCTTTAAGAAGTTTTTTACACTTGGCTGATTAAAATACATAGAAATTCATGTGTTCTTAGAGTTGTTAGCTCTTGTTTTTCCAGTGACCAGACTTGAAAATAGTGTTGTCCAGCAAGATAGGTAAAACTGCAAGTCAGGCAAGGTTTGTGAGGAAGAATATTGGAGCAGCTGATAGTACTGAATCAGGGAAGGTGATGCACAGCTTTTTGGCTCACAGTCCTTTCCCAGGAAAGTGTCATGTTCTGCCCATTGAAGCTCTTGAGTAGTAAAGATGAATTAATATCAGTACTGTGCAGAAGATTCTCTTTGACCTTCTAAAGATTTTGTTTTCTTTTGCCTTTTCTAAGTAACAAGTAACTGTGGTCAGAGTCACTGTGAGACAATGCCACCAGGCTGGCATAAGGAGAGGGAGGAAGACTTGGAAGATAGTGGACAAGGAGCTACAGCTGAGATTTAAAGGTCTTCAGGCTCTAAGTAGCACTGAAAGATGTCTGCTTCTGTTCACCTGCATCAGCTGGTCAAATGAGAGGTGGTGTCACTTCCTACCCATGTTCTGGAGTAAAGCAGTGGCTGAAAAGCACAATTTTGCTGTTGAGGAAGAATGACAGTTGCAAAGTGACCTGGTGTAAAATCTTGTTGCAAGTTGCTTATTTGCCTGAGCGAGAAGTCCATTGAAGCCTGCTGCCCTTAGCAACGTTCAGTTTTCAGAGCTTGGGAATGAACAGGCTGAGCTGAAAAAGGTTGCATAAGGCTTGGTTGCAGTCCTTTGTGTTTGAGGTAAAACTTTCCATTGACTTCACTGGGATTTGGCCAGGACTTTTGGGAATGATTTTACAACGGGGAAATCAAGCGTAGGTTAGGTGGCTTTTTGGCCCCTTCTAGCTGGACTTCTTTGAAAGGGGATATTTGTAGGACTGAATACCCTTCCCCCTCTTACTCACCCTCCAGGTCTTTTCCTGTTTCCTTATGCTGAGAGCTGCTTAGATACAGCAACTACTTGTGTATTTCCTCAGTGAAGGAACACAATCCATTTTAGGTACTTTCAGTATAGTCATTACGTAATTTTGATGTAGTCCTTTAATAGCAGACATTTTAGATCCCTGTGGATATTAAGTAAGATCAGCAGTCTGAAACCATAAAGGAGTAGCCTTCTGAGTAGCTCATAAAGACAGTAGTTGCTTTGCAAATGTAATGAAGCCCATTATGTCAAGAAAAGAGGCTCGCAAAGAAAAAGAAAACATCTTCCTTTTTGCAGATCCAAAAGAACTCAAGCTGAAACAGTGAAGCTAAAAAGGATTCAGAAGGAGTTACAAGCTTTAGATGACATGGTGTCTGCTGACATCGGCATCCTGCGCAACCGCATTGACCAAGCCAGCCTGGACTACTCCTATGCCCGGTAAGTGCCAGGCAGGGAGGAGGAGGGAACAGCCTTTCCTGAGTAGAGGGAGCAAATATTGTTTCTACTCACTGAAGCAGTAATGGAGTGAGGTCGCTGTAATAATGCTTATGTAAAGCCCCTCAGACTGTCTGCTTAGAAACCTTGAGGTAAAAGTGTGCTTTCTATTTCCTCGTTTTCCCCTTGAAATCTGGAAACTGAAGTTTGTTTTCTGACTGCAGACTATGCCTTCCAGCTTCGTGCTGTTGTGAGGCATACTTACTGCTTTAACTGTGCTGTTGTCCTTAAGCCCTGCTTTATTGTATCTTCTTAGGGAAAAGAGATCTTTTCCAAAAATCCTAAGTTTCCTTTCAAGGAAACTTGACTTTTGATGACAGGTCTGGTCCTGCTAGAATCTATGGGACCAATTAAGCTTAAAACAGAATTCTGCTGAAGTGTTTTTGGAACTGGGAGGAAAAAGTAAGCTTTCCCCCTTCGCAATGTGCCTTTAATCACTCTGGTTCTGATGAGTTCCTTAAGTGCAAGAAATTAATCGGAACACCCTTTTAGCTGTGGGTAAACCACAACATCAGTAGATAAACATCAGCATGTTTATGTAGTCGTTGAATAAAATGGAAATGTTTGGTTGAGGTTTTTGGTTCAGGATTCAATGTGTGAAATGTCTATTTCCACCTAAGAATTCTGCTGTATGTCAACCACAGGCTAATAAGTGTGGTAATTAGTCTTCAAAAAATACCAGTAGTAGCTTAAAAAATAAGGATTTGGGTTGCATGATTATCATTTGAAATATCTAAGGTTAACTGCAGTTTCAGTAGCTGAGTGTGTATGGATGCTGAATTTCTTATCCTCGAGAGGGAAACATTTCATTGTATTTTTGGCTTAACTCTGCTTTCTGAAACTGCTAAACACTCTTACAAATGTCCTTATCCAAATCTTCTAATAATGTGTCTCTTTGAAATGCTTAATAGCAAAAGGGAATGTAACAATCAGCTCCAGGTTTTGGAAAGCAGTTTATAGTGAGGGTAACAGAGGGGATATTGGTTGGACAAAGGAGATGAAATTCTGAAACAGTGATTTTGATGGACTTAGTAAATCTTTTTGTGAGGGAGAGATTTGGAAGCGTGAGTTGCATAATTACAGTGCTGTAGTTTTTGTACATTATGAGCCAAAGCTGATTTCTTTTAAGTGGTGGTTTTGAAAGCAGTTTTTTCAGTCCTTGGCTTCTATTTTTGGGCTAAAACCCAATCTTTTTCACTGGGTCAAGAAGTGCAGTGTTAAATAATTCTGAGCACGTGGTTGATGGCATCTGACAGTTACTGTGGAATGGAATTTTAATAATTATGGTGTGGAGAAGATATGTGATTTTGGCCCAAATGTTTGACCATGCAGAAGCTTCCAGCATAGTGTTGGCTCTTCCATTTTGGATACTTGACCCAGGGAAATCTTGACTTTCTTGTTTTGTTCTCATTCCTGCTGAGCAAGATTGCATCTCTCTCTCTAATAATTAAGCTGAATTAATATACAGTGTCAATGAATGTAGTTGAAGATACATCACTAACATGGACACCAACCATTAAAGTGCTGCATATCCGGGATACGTCGACCTCAATAAATATTTGGAATATTTCCTTTTGGCTATATTTGCCATGACAGGAAACACAGATTGGCAGGAGGTATGTCCTGGGGGAATGCTTGCAATGAAATTCTACATCTGTTGCCACACAAAAGTTGTGATCACTATTGATGTCAGATGCTATGTTAATCTGTGGAGTTCGTGACTTTCAGAATGTGTATCTGGGTGGCCAGAAGAGTCTGCATCTCGATCAGATCCAAGTGCAAGTATGTATAGCACCCTCATAGCATCTGTATCCGTTGTGCTGACGGTTGGACTAGAAAAACTCCAAACTGCTTTACAGTGTTGCAGTTTGCTGGATAGTTGTTCATTTGAAGTGTGAAAACATTACAACTTCTGAGGGTTTCTTTCTCCTGCTAGTGTTGCATCTCTTAAAACTGGCGGTAAAAATGCTTGCTTGCAATTCAATCTCTGTATTTCAGACAAGCAAATTAACTCTTGCAATGTAGGAGCAATGGAGGCCAATGTGTCAAAAGAAGATGGCTTAAAGCATTTGTACTTGTTTCCTCCTCCCCCTTTAAACTAGGGTAGCAGCATATCATGAAACAACTGGCATAATGCATTTCAGGGATGCTTAAAGTGTCTGTCCGTGTGGCAGATTGCAAAGTGCTTTGAGATCTAACCCATGAGAAATGATGCTGATTTTGCAGGAAGCGGTACGACAAGGCTGAGTCGGAGTACGTGGCAGCCAAGCTGGACCTCCAACACAAGACAGAGATCAAGGAGCACCTCACAGAGCACCTGTGCACGATCATACAGCAGAACGAGCTCCGCAAGGCCAGGAAGCTGGAGGAGTTAATGCAGCAGCTGGAAGTGGAGGCAGATGAGGAAAATCTGGAACTTGAGATAGAGGTGGAGCGGATGCTGCAGCAGCAGGAGGCAGAAGCAGGGAGACAAGCCAGCCAGTCACACAATCGTGCTGGGACAGCTAAAGAAAACTCAGCTCCCACTGTTACAACAAAGGAGAGTGAGCATGCTAACCACGCTGCTGCTTCTCCTGCTCTCTCTGAACAGTTGGTGCTGTCTGAAAACTCTGGTACCAAATCCCTCTCTGATATGGACAACCAGACTCAGGCAGTAAATGTGACTCCAGGAGACTCCCCAGCTTGCTCTGCTACATGACTACTATTTTCAGCCAGCTGGTTATGGATATGATACTCTCTGCAGGCTTGTGGGCTGTATATGTTATCTCTGGGCTTCTGTGGTGCCAGTAATATGCACTTCATTTTAGAGGATTTTTTTTTTAATTCTTTTTGAGGAAGATCTCTTTTAGAGATCACCATCTGTCCTTATCATTCTGTTCTCTTAGGTTCAAATTCTAATGCCCAGCTCCTCATGGGTTGTTGTACCTTCCACATATGATACTTGGAAGCAAACAGGGTTTCTTCCAAGGGGTTTTCTGCATAGCGGTATCACAGATACCTGTTTCAAACAGTGTGCAAGAGATACATATCTACAGGAGAAGGCTTTGCCACTTACTCTGTTTCTAGACACATTCTGTCCCCTGACAGATGCAATATGATTTTTATCTTCCTTTGCATCCATAAGGGATAAGTTTTCAACGGTTTTAATCCAGTGAAACTCAAGAGTATATTTTAATTATCTTCATAGCTTATACTGTTTCCTGTACCTGATTTAAGGGATAATTGTATATTGGGAGAAATTGCAAAGTTAATTGTAATATTTCCTACGTATTGCTTCCTATTTCTTTCAGATAGCGCTATATCACACAAAGCTCCATACTGACAATGAATTGTCTATGAACTCACAGCTGCTATGATTTAACAAAAATAATGGGTGACAATTTAAGACATGGCAGAATGTATGATGCAGAAGTAGAAACAAAGAAAACAGAATTATGATTAAAAGTATTCCATTACAAACATTTTCCTCTATCACTGTTGCCTCAAAATGCTAATAATCAGCAGGGACCTTGCAACGAATAATTCCCACAGCATATTGGAATGGAGCCCATTTTCCTGTAATGATCAGTGCATTCTGTTGCCTGAAGAGTGGGTTTGTACCCCACAAGAAGTTGAGCTATTTCCCTCTGTTGCTGTTGAAAGGCTTTAGAAAACTCTTCCAGGTGGAGAAAGTCTCAGGAATTAAAACAGAGGACATATGAAAGCCTCCAGTAGAGACTGATGCAGCTGCAAACCTTGGGGACGCTGTAGCTATCCACTTTGTAACAGAGGAAAGCTGCTTTCACTGTGGCAATGTTTTCTGTAATACCTGACCTGAACACGTCAGAGTTTATGAATGAGTTACTGAGTGATGCCATCAAATGTATAAATGGGACACTAATTGTCTCTATGGCTTTAACAGTGGAAACAACTGTGTCACTACATTTCATTTTTATTCTATTAATAAATCGGTGCATCTTCTACGTGGTGTGTTTGCTTTCAGTTTTGATATCTGATACTAATACCCATATCCAAGACTGTTTTTCCACAGGAGGTGATAAATGACAGAATCAGATACGTCCCTTGGCAAGTTTCCTCTATGTGAAAGTAAAACCTTGAAGAAGGCCGTTCCAGTGTATGAAAATGTATGGGGCAAAGACATGGCAGGATACAACTTGGCAGGAGTTTTGTCTTCTGTCTGTGGTCTGAGACAGCAGTGAAAAATCGCTTCTGGTGCCTCCCATACACAGGGGAAAGGAGGATAAATATTTCTAGAGAAAACTCTCATGATTAGGACTGATTAAAGTTGGGAAAGCCTAAAACAACCTTTGAGATGCACAGGAAACGCTGCTGTGTTGCTGATAGACTTCTTTCTCTGATATTTTGCTGAAAAAAAAAGTTGGCCTAACAACCAAGTATTTGATTGCATTTTGAAAAAAAAATGGTGACAGACTTCCTTTGCCCTGTCTGCAATTGCAGAGCAGCTTGTAGCAACCTGATTATGGTTTTCAAAGCTGGTTACTGGTAAGTGCAATAATAATTTAATTGTACTGTTCTTGTTTCCATCCTTTGCAGCTGTCCCTAGTTGCTTCTCAAGAGAATCCTAAGTCTTACTGGGTAAGTCTGTTCCTCATTACAGTTATATTCAGCTCATCGAGGGGCATAAAGAGGAGCATCTGACAAGATTTGAATTGTAATGGTGTTTACAAGGTACAAACGCATACACTTTGGCTTATAATTTGTGGGTCTCTGCTATGCTAACGTATTGAAATAGACCTACTGATTGCACCTTGTTGTTATTACCAATATGGTTATTGTCTGAATGCCTCAAACCAAAAAAGGTGGAAAACTGGAAATTCAAAGATCTTTCAGATAACTACTCAGGAACATGAGTTTTCTGAAACAGAGTAAGCTTATGTCCATTAGAAAGGCTTAGAAGATGGAAAATTCTCATGTACCATGCTGATAGTGCTGGTGTTTCTGCCTCTTGGGAAAATGTTATTGTTAGAATCAGCAGTTTCTGTTCTCTCACTAGTCTCTCATCGAAGTTCTGGCCAGTTCTCTCTGTATTTAACTTCTGAGCTTGCAAAATGAAGTGAACTGGCTGCACGCCATATGAAGCGGCCACATGAAATAACAATAGGCAGCCTAGCATTTGGTTGCTCTCTCTAGGCAGGAAGCCGAAGAGTTAAATTGTTTGATCTGAGTTATGAAGCCTTTCTCTGACGTGTGATATAAACCACTACCATGGTGTCAGTTCCACTTTGGAAATTTGCAAATGTTTTGATGGGTGCCAGTGTGCCGGTTTAACAGTCCCCCTATGCCGGAGCCAAGCAGTCCAGTCATAATTGTAACAACATGTGTGCTGGTCAGAAATGCCAGGAGATGATTTTGGTGCAACAGAGGAGTTGGGTTTTTTTTCTTGTTTTTTTTCCTTGAAGAAAACAGAACAGTTGGAGTTGAAGCTCTCCAAACAAAAGCCTTTTCTACCTTAGTAGCGGTCAACATGTTTTATTATGTTTGGCTCTGCTGTTGTTAGAATGCATCAAAGGCAGGTGCACCTTCCACTCAGCGTGTTGCACCTCTTCAGAAAAGTGGAGAACTGCAAAATTCAGATGAAGCTAAGAGCAGGGAAGCAGATTTTTAAGTGAGGGCCAGTTGTTTGTGCAGGTGGAAGTCTGAATATGAAACGTGCTGGGGTTGAACATCATGGCAGGGAAAATGGAGTGATACCTGACGGTACCACTGTAGGGCTCAGCACAGGAGATTTGGTTTCTCCTGTGGCAGTGCAGCCATTTCTGTGTTGGGCTACAGAATTTCCACTACGGGAAGAAGTAGAAAACACCAATGTATGCTACTGTGAGAGTGTTAAAGGAGTACAACATAATTGCTCATGTTGCAGTTTGGCCAGGATGTTGGGATTAATGCTCCTTCCTCTATCAAGAAATGTTTAAGTGAGCACAGATGGTCACGGCTCAGACAAAATAGCATTAACTCCAGCAGTCCAGGGTTCCTATGGATATCTAGTGTGTGGTGTAAAGCACTTGGACAGTCCCCTGTTTGATTGTATATCCAACCAGCTAAGTTGAGCTCTTGAGAGGCTTCATCTTAGAATAGCTATCTGGTAGGGATTTAAGTTCTCAGTCGGCCATGTTTCTCCCTAATACCTTCTGCAACATTCTGAAGTCTTTGCTTTGAGTCCATATCCCACCTAAAGAGAATAAGGACAGACTAGGATAGACTAGCAAGAGTAGTTGGTGTACTGCCTTTCCTGACTAGCAGTATCAAGAACATGCTAGATGGGATTGCTGATAGGAAAGTCACCCTATTCAGAAGTTCTAGATCCAGAGACAGGGATAGAGCACTTCCAAATTGCCCTCTGTGCTGGCACCTGCTGCTTTGCGTTTTTTGCTTAGGACTGTAGGATCTTTAGACTTTCCATTCTCTGCAAAGGTTCAAACTTGAATGAAAACCCTGACAATATGGATTGTCCCAGCCTGAGACCTGTTACTTTATCGGACTCGCCTTGTGTGGGATCTGTGAGTAGCTCTTGGTCTTAGTTTAGTACGATTCTGATTCTGTATAGACATGGAGGCTTGGGATAATACGAGCTGAGACATTTCTGTGCTCTTCTCTAATGCATGCCATTGCTGTGTGTAAAGGTTCATACTGTGGTTGAGAGCTAGATAAATTTTTTATGCTGGCCTGATTCAGCCCAGAAATTGTACGTTTGACACTTTGGTATTGTATCACAGTCCCTTTCCTAACTCTGTGCATATAGGCAGGTGTGGGTACAAGGGACAAAGGCTCTTGCCAGTGGCAATGCAGGCAGGGAGTAGAGATGTGGGCTGGTATAATGGAAACCACATGCTTGTTAAGTGCCCTATTTAGGCCTGTCTGCATGGTCCTATTAAAGCGAGTGTTGGCTCCTTTGATGGGGCACGAGACTGGTTTCCTTCATCATTTACCCTGATTTATGTCCCAGCAGCAAACCTGTACGTCAGTGGGGAAAGACCAAGTAACAAGAGAGGTTAGCCAAGCCTCACCCCCTCGGCATGACAGAACATCAGATCCTTGAAATCCTTGCCTTTGGCAGCCTGTTAGTTGCAGGGTTTAAATCATGCCTTTTAAGATGCAGGTAGAGACACTAAAAAGCTTGGGCCTTTCTGAATTAGGGCCTGGATTGTGTAGTTAGAGTCATTTTCTCAATTAGCTAAACATAAATCAATATAACGAGGCGCTTGGGAGCATTGGGCAGGTTTAGTACCTTGTCTCTCCTGCCTCTGTCCTTACTGCTCCCACCTGGTTATTTGGCTGATCTGCTGGTGATTTTATTTTTCCACGCTGCCAGAGCCAAGCAGTGGGTTTTAGTGTCTGTGCTGGTTCTTATACCTGGCACTTGTGTGTGAGAAGTGATAACTAGGAGAAATTGGTCTTAGTGAGATCTATGTGGCGTCATCCTTCAGAGAGGGGAGGCACTGTCCTGTTGAGTAGGAAACAATGATTGGAGGCACAAGCACAGAAAATGTAACAGCAGCAGAGATGCCTTTCAGAGTGATACCCAGAACTGGAAAGCACTTTGTGCTCTCCAAGCCATAACTCCCTTTCCAGGCCTACACCGTGGAAGAACTGTGCTGCTTTCCAGAGATTGATGGATAATGGAAAGGGGATGGGTGCTCTGCTGGCACATTTCAGCCCTGCTTGGGTGGAGTGCTGGGATCCCTGTGAGCAGGCATCCATGGAAACACTTGGAGTTTCCTCACAGAAAACAATTAAACCCTAGGACTTGTTTTGTGCCTTGAAATCCCATTGGAGTGGATATAAAAAAAATCCACTGTGAGAGCTGCAGTGCTAAGGTACTGAAGATACCTCTTCAGTATCTTGCATCTTGCAGAGTGGGGGGGGAGGATGTGCAAAGATAGCTGAATAAAGGAGCAGAATGCTGTTCACCCAGCCCAAGCATGGCCTGAAGCAATGGCCTTCCCTGAGAGGTGGAGCTGAAAAACACCCAAACCAACCTTGATTGCTTTGTGTAATAGACGTGGAACTGAGGAGTGACTTTCCATAGGCAGAAATCCTTGCTCTTTGCTGAAGCAGTTAGCAGTGCTGGTGATGCATTTGAACAGGTGATTGTCTGGTGCAATCCTCTCATGTCATCAGTGCTGAATCTGACCCTTTGAGTGTCTCTCTAGCATTTCTTTCCTCAGTGAGCAGCAATGGGTCTTTGCTCTGATCTGTGGATGTTTTGGAGAGCCTAGGCAGGGGGTAACAGCAGCTTGCTGTTGGTATGATTCCTCCAAGACATGGAGCTAGGTATCCTGCAGATACCTGAGCAAGCCATGCTATCTTGCCCCCCCCTTTTTTTTTCTTTTTTCTTTTTCCCACTGTGCAAGAAGTGTAACCCCTTGGGCTATCCATCCCCAGGGGGTGATGAGCCATCAGCCCAGCAAGGGGTACCCAACTAGAAATGTTTGGCTGCATACAGTATGACTGAAGAGTCACAAGCTGGCTGTCCCCCAGATTGTCAGTTTGGGCAACAAGCTCTGTAAGCTCTCTGCAGACCCATGCTGTGAGCCTGTGCTCAGTATTCTCAGTGTTTGCAACATGAGCTAGAGTGAAACAGTCATGCCTTTGTAGGCTCAAATGACTTTTCCAGTACAGACAGCTCTTCTCTCCTAAGGATGGGTTAATAGAATTCAGACATCATCTTTTTTTAAAAGTTTTCCAATTTGGATCTGGATTAGGTTTCTCAGTAATACCCGAATCCCCGCATCACGTTTTGGTGAGTTCTGTAGCTGCTTAACTGCTGACTCTTATTGCTGATTGTGCAAGTTCCATGCTGGTGGTGTCCTAGAGGTTGTGTCTCTGTCTTCACTATCACATGAGCTGCAGCTGGTCCCACATCTTGGTGCTTAGTTTCATGGCAAAGAAGATAATATTGTTTGGCATAAGGATGTGCTCATAAAGAACTAGGTCCATTCCA